GTGAATGTTCATGATGCTTTTGTCAAAAATCAGCTCCTTACAAATACATGAATTTATTTTGGGTTCTCTATTCTGTTTCATTGGTCTATATGTATGATTTTATGCCAATACTATGCTGTTTTGATTACTATGGCTATGTAGTATATTTTGAAGTCTGGTAGTTTGATGTCTCAAACTTTGTTCTTTTTGCTCAAGATTGTTATGGCTATTCAGGCTCTTTTTTGATTTCATATGAATTTTGGAAATTTTTTTTCTACTGCTGTGAAGAATGTCATTGGTATTTTGATGGGGATTGCATTGAACTTTGGGAGTGTAGGAAATAGCACAGTCATGACTCCACTCTCCAGGGAGATGGGTGTCTCAGACTCTAAGTGGTTAGTCCAGCTTCTGGGAAGCAGTGCACTAGAGTTATCTGGCCTATAGGGTCAGGTGTTTCAGCTCTGTTTCTCTGGGACATGGGGTACTACATTGGCTCAGCTCTGGGATATGTAGCTGTTCAGCTTGGCCAGGGCACTGATTCTTCAGGGGGTAATTGCCAACTCACCTCAGGCTTGGGGGGCATGACTGTTATGGGAAGCTGAGGCACTTTTCTGGGTTGCATGATGCCACTTCAGGTTAGGTACTAGGGTTAGTGACCTCTGTGGAAAATGAAGACAATGTTTCTTCGGATGCAGGGTTTTTGCTTCAACTTAGGCACCAGGGAGGCATGACTGCTCTGAGCAGCCAATATATTGTTTTCCCAGGAGGCAAGGCACTGCTTCAGCTCTGGCCAGAGTAGATGGGGAGAGGGGTAGGTGGAATGGCTCCACTTCCATTTTGCCCCATGATAAAGGGCCGCAGCTTGGCTTGGGGATGTTGGGCCACCAGGCTGGAGTGGTTCAGCAGCCTCAGGGATGAAGGGGAGGCATAGCTACTCACCTCCAGAGCAAGACAGACTGCAGCCATAGTTCCACTTCCAAGATGATTTAGCATAGAAGCTGTGTGGGCCACAGGGGTGGGGCATAGTGTCAGCTCCTTCTCTGGGGGGAGCACAGCTATGTGGACTCCAGAAAGCTCCCTTAGCTGAGCTTAGAGCCTGTGTGGAATGCAGGGGACCCCAGTGGTGAGGTCTAAGGTGTTGCTGGGGTCCTCCTTCTTAACTTTGCACCCTAAAAAGAATTTCTTCTTTTCTTGAGTCCCAGCTGACCCCATCTGGCAGATGGGGTGCTGGAGTCCCGGCATTTCCTTCTGTTCTCCATGTGGCTATCCCAAATGTCTATACTCACCAGGGTTTCTGTTATTCCTGTAATTCACTCCAGTGCTCTCCTTAAGTTATTTTCATTAAAATGTGGTTGTTTATTCATTATTCTGGCTGTCTGTGGAGTGGGGAGGGAAAATGGTAGGGGCTTCTAATTGACCATCTTGCTGATGTCACTCCCCCAACAGAATCTTTTCATGTCATGGACTTATAATGCTGAAACTATATTTCTCCTTCCATCAGTCTGGTATTTCATTTTCTTCCACAGCTTCCCAAGGCACCCCATTCA